GTTTGATAAGTACGGGCAATCAAAAAACTTGCTAACAGATAACAAGTTGAGGCCACCGCCAAATTGTTTGAGAGAAAGGGCAATCAAAAAATAAGTGATCATGGTCCTCATTATGCTCCTCACACAAAACACATGTGGCTGAGTCTCTAATACCAAACATAACCAATTTCACATTTTTACAATGCAGAATATGCCTCTGGTTTGTAAGTGGTGGCTATTGACTACAGCTGAATTTAAGAATGGAACCAAATTTTAATGAGACCAATGTTTCCCAAAATTCATTCCATAATAAAGTAATGGCAATCCTAAGTTCAACATTAAAATTCATTCCATAACACATAAGTTACATCATGAAGTACAATAAAACCGAAAATGGTAGAAACTTGCATTCAGTTTCCCAAAATACAATAAAGTACAAAAGTTACATCATAAAGTATAAAATGATATAAAATACAATGAAATACACAATCGCTTGGATATTATTTTCCATCCTTTCAAGCCTTCGACCATAGTCATTTTCCATGTCATCAAGCCTCGTCCTTACATCGTTAAAGTCTTTTACTGTTATAGCATCACAAGCTTTAGTGTTGGAACAGATTCTGGACATAACGTCTTCATCGTCTTCATCATCTTCATCCAAGAACTTAAAGTAATTGCAATGGGGAGTGAGAGTGTTACTCTACAGTGCATGACAATCAGTACGTTGAATAAGACAAATATTAATGTGACTACTAAAGGATTAAATTTTTCAATACATACTTACATATTTTGATGGGCAAACAAAGAACAAACGCCCTTGATTTCCATTCTCATTGGTTCTTACAATATATATGGTAGTGGTTCTTCCACAATTGCACAGCCTCGGTTGTAATCTTATGTTGCTATTGTTAGAAAAAGAGGTCATTTTTTAAATCTGCATACATGAGAAATTTGTAGTGTTATGCTATGCTTGTGTTTGAAGCAGGATCAACATTCATGAGAAAATAAATGATTTGTAATTACACGCATATGGTAATTCTATAGAGTTATACCCATAACAGAAGTAATGACAGTTCTATAGAGGAGAGGGACAAAGTATGAAGGCTTAAGAGTATATGAACATAGCATTTGAACAAACATAGCAGTTCAATGTCAGTCATTTTCTTTAGTTTCAAACATAGCATTTGTGATTAATTACACACATGTTACACACATAGCAGTTTCAAATTGAATTAGGAAACCCATATCACTGATCATACTAGCCTAACTCAAAACCACCTCAAATGCACAAAAACCAAATTTTGAAATGCCAAATTTCCACTACCCCTCGTAATAAATACCAGTGGTGCTTTGAATGAAGAAACATATATCATTGATCATACTAGCATAACTCAAAACAACCTTACTGCACAAGATTCAAACTTTAAAAACCCAAATTGCCACAACTTATTGGTTTTATGACTTCTTGTAAATCAAAACAACTAAAACATTAGATTTAATATATGACTGATTTTCTCTCCTTCCTCAAATTTTTTATCAACCAACCAGAGGAGAGAAGAAAGTATGTTCATTATTTCCAGTATAAAAGCAAACAAAAAAAAGGCACAAAATTATTTTATTTCCTCAAAGCCTATTCAAGAACTCTACAACAATTCTTTACAAAAACAAGTAGAAAATTAATCAATTTGTCTCACTAATTAAATAGGTTTATGGATACTGATTCATCAAAAACACACAAAAACACACCCACTCTCAAAGCCCTAATTTTTCCTTGTTGGAATCCCAAATCAAAGCCATAATTTTGAAATTTCAAATCTATTTTCTCAATCTCAATCACACAACCCTAACTTCTTAATTTCAACATTTCAAAGACAAACCTAGTTCCTCTATTGCCTTAGAACCCACGTTCTCATCAAGAAATTTCTTTGCTTAGCCGACGGTGGTGGTCGCGGTGGAGCTATGGTTCACGTAGCAGAGAATATTAGGGCTGGAGTGGGTCACCGTCGAGACTGGTCGCTGGTGCCGTCTGGAGGACTGGTCGCCGGTGAGGGTGGGTTCGGTAGAGGAGGACGGGTGAGTGTGAGGCTGAGTGAAAGTGAGAGTAAGAGTGAAGTGAATGTATAACTATAGCAACGGGTGGGAATCTTCTGAAATTTCAATTTCATTTATTTATTTATGGCCGTTGGATGTGCAACGGCTGATCTTAGCTGCTGCAAGGAGGAGATGAAGTAGGATTCTCAAGGATAACCTTGGGGCTAACATTGGGCATTGAAAAAAGGTATGTTCCAAGGAAACTTTTTTTATAACTCCCATTTCTAAGAGTTTTATTCCATTCAATCCATATTCTTTTTTATTATTCCATTACATCCTATTGGAGATAAGACGACCAAAACACCCTCAATCTCTCTTGCCTCCATTAATGTTGATTGTCATTATGTTTTGGTAGTTCTCATGACCATTCCTATTTCTCATATATTCACTCCAAAAACACACCACTATTTAATGTTGATACATATTACACACAAAAAATTAAACATGATTTTTTTATTGATTGTCATTATGTTTTGATAGTTATAATGCATCCAAATATTGACTGTACTGATGACGTGAATGTTCACATCAAATGACATGTGATAAAGGTGATGTTAAGGTTCACATCAGCATTGCATCAAATTACACAACTACAAGCCTTAACTTTCATTTGAATATAAAAAATATGGCTGTATGTGATGACATTAATGTTCACATTAGATGACGTGAATATGAATGTTCTCATCAGATGACGTAAATGTGAATGTTCACATTAGATGACGTAAATGCGAATATTCTCATCAGATGACGTAAATGTAAATGTTCATATCAGATGACGATAAAAATATATTCACATCAGATAAAAAAGAATGTTCACACTATTTTTAATGTGTTGTCAATTAAAAATATATTCACATTATATAATAAGATAAAATAATAACATCAATATTATTTAATTTGTGTATGAAATTTCTTATGCCTTGATCCTTTCCTTTCTCTCTCCTCCTCCTAATATTAAATATCAATATTAAATATAAGAGCATAAAAGTCTAAGAAAATAATGTAAATAAAGAAAAATGACTTCATTGAATAAAACTATATATACATGGGACTAAGTGGGTTAAAAAATTTCTTAATGGACTTTTTGGGTTAGAACACTTTTAAATGAAATTTATCAATTAAAATCCCATGTTCGAAAGTCTCGTCTGCTTACCACAAGGGGTGGGGGCATGAAAACGCTGGATTTTTTAGTGGTTCTCTTCGAAATCTCGCACTGTATTCCGATCAAAACTTAGCCTTACTGGGGGTGGTTATAAGCTCCACTGGTGTCTCGGTGGTGGATCTCTTCCTATGGGTTGTGTCAAATCAAGCTAGCAACTGGTTACTCAGAACCTGGGCCCACGGATACCGTAATAACACCAAAAAGTATTTTTTTTTGGATAAAAAAAAAATTTGGTCTCTTCTGCTTCTAAATAACACAGGCATGTGGCATCTTGGGTGATTCTACGTGATTTCAATACACACTTTAAACCCCACCCTTGTGTCAATATTTCATTTTAATTATAGTCTAACTCCACTCTCAGCATTAACCTTTTAAACCATAATTATAATTCTATATCATCCCCCACTATTAGGAGGTAAGAAAAAAAAAAAATCGATCAATTCTGTTGAACTAAACCAAAGCGATTATATTTTGTCAGTTTTTTAATATGAATCGGTATGTATGATTTTTAAAATTAATTTTTTTCGATTTCAATTCAATATCAATTTAAACACTTTGTGCACTAACTTACACCAAAACTGACCAAAAGTTTCGCATATTAAACATAATATATATTAAATATATAATGAAGTTGGTTGAGTTTAAAGTTCAATTGATTCACTTAATTGTTTATTTTCTTAAACATATTTCATATTTGACAATAGATATTAGCAATGTGATAAGTTGTTAGTTTGCCATTTATATGTGCTTTAATAAAATTTTGTTATTACTATGCCTATATAGCTATATCAGATGTTTAGATCGTTTTTAATTTTTTGTTTTTAAAATTTTCAGATTATATTTTGTTTCTAATTCTATTTCAGTAAAAGTTTAAACACTTAAAGGGTTGTTTGGGATGATCTAAATAAGTGTACTTTTTGTCTTTTTACGAAAAGATGTGCAGAAAAGTAGAGAGGTGATGTGATGAAAAAAAAAGATAAAAAAATGGATTATATAGGAGATGCCAAACCACCCTTTAGTATTTATTAGTTCATTTATTTGTATTTTTCTGATTGATTGGATTGGATATTGAAATAATGTACAAATAACTAATTTAATATTTTTATATAAATTATTTACTATGCCATGAATTTAAGAAATAACACAAATTTGAAATGTCGTAAACCAAAAATTGCATTGAGTCAAACAGTCTGTATCGGTTCTCAATATAATAGAATCGACATTATCGATTCCGTGTAAAATTTTACCTAAATACCAACTGTTTCAAATCGATTACATCCATACCTACTACCTCCACCTCCTCTTCCTCTATCATCCATTTACAAATTTTATTAAAAAAAATTATTCTCTTTGTTTTAAAAATAAATTTTCATTATTTTTTCTCTTTTATCTCTTTTGATCACCACCATAATTCATCACCACCACCACTATTTACCACGTCCAACCCTAGTGATCGGCCCTACCAATTTTTTTAGACAATTATCTTATCTTACTTATTTTTAAAAAATATATATCAATACAATAATGTTAAAGGTTCGCATTTTATATTTATAAGTACATTTGTAATCATATAACAAAGATGAAAGATTTTATATAATTGAATTTACGACCCTTATCAAATAATATCATTTTCAATTGAATAATTTTGTGTCAAATATTTTCCTAAACCTTAATGTTTGATTTGTTTTTAATGTTTGCAAAATTCTGAAGGGGGCAACGTAGTCCATTTGGGGCAACATAATCCTCCCGCTTTCCTATGGCTTGGATTGGATCGTAGAATCTTCTTAGCCAACACAAACCTTTCAAACACTGCAAAAAAAAAAAAAAACGAAAGCCAAGTCCGAACCAAATCCTCTGATTACAGTACGCTCTACTGTTTCAAGCAACAAACCCCTCTTTCATGGCTGACGAAATCTGAACAACTACTCTTAAAAATGGCTTCCATTTCCTCATTTTTCACCATAACACCGAAGTCTCACTGCTTATCTTGTACCAAATCCTCAATCCTCCTCAAACCCACTTTGCAATTTCACTCTCTGAGGCATCAATCTTCGCTTCTTCTCAACAACAACAACCCATCATCATCATCTTTCAAAGTTCGGCAGAACAATAGGTGGGGTTTATTGGTTCCTAGTCTTGTTGTTAGGGCGAGTATTGATGTTGCGAGTACAGCAATCAAGCCCGGAGGTGCCGTGGAGAGCGATAAGCTTCCGGTGGATGTTCGGAGGCGGGCCATGGACGCCGTCGATTCTTGCGGAGGGAGGGTTACGATTGGGGATGTGGCGAGCAAGGCTGGGCTCAAATTGAATGAAGCCCAGAAAGCTTTGCAGGCAATTGCTGCTGATACTAACGGTTTCTTGGAGGTATTCTATTCGATGAATTGAAACTTGGGTTGTATAATAGTTTGTCATTTACCAGTTTTTTGTATGTGAGTTCCAGAAAAAACTTTCATTTTTTAGCAGTCATTGATTGGATATATAATATTATTGGATAGAGTGAGGTTGGTAGTTATATAACAATTAGATTAAATGGGATAACCTTGTCAAATTTGTGTTATGCGTGTTTGACACTTGTGTGAGAGTGGATTTCGCATTGTTGAGTAAGTAGGAGCTCCGAGACTGAACTGGACTATCCAGTAACAGAAATCAGCACAAGCAAGAACACGGTGAGAGTTGCCAGCTAGGGTTGGCTGGAAAACGTGTCTGATGCTGAGGTCAGGGTCTTGAGAGAACCAATGTAGAGAGAGTATGTGTGCCAAAAGAATGGAATGTCCTCCATAGAAGGATTGAGGTTACCTTATATAGGCTAAACCTGCATTGCTCTCCAAGAGCTGTCCTACCCATCTGCTCCCTTGGTCCTCCTTTGTCTTGTCTGCAATTACATCTGAGCAGGGGGAAGGATGATGAGTCTGTTAAGCACGTAGGTCTATGGGAAGTGATCTGTGTCATCCTGTATGATGATATATTCCTTCGAAGCCGTTTTGATAAGAATGGCGGATTGTGATGGCATGTCTTTCCTCATGCAACCTTGAATCAAGTGCAAGGCTTGTGCCTTTGTTCAGTCTTGCTCGGTGTGGGGCTATTCCTCTGTTCGGCCAAACTCAACTGGTGACATCAGAGTTGCTTTGTTTGGCTTCATGTGTCTAGCACACATTACTGCTCGGCTCACATTGGTGGAACTAACTCCCTTCAGTCCATCTCAGTGGACTAGGTGGGTTTGACCCAAGCCTTTGTTTGGCCTACATTGGAGTGGCCAATTACGGTTGGTCCATGTCATAGTGCGGTCCACATTGGGGTGACCAAATAGGTCTAGCCCATATCTTTGCTCGGCCCATGTTGGTGGGTTGAGCGAGCTTGGCCTACTGAGTTGGGCTTAATGGGCTCAGCCCATTTAAGGAGTTTGACCTAGTCTAGCCTTGCTTCGAAAGCGTCGACCCCCTTCAACACTTGAAGTATTTATTTTTTGTGTTGTTAGTTCATGTCACTTTTGGGTTCGTGTCAAGAACTAACCAATCCTAGTCTGCTAACTTTGTGTTTAGTCGTCTCGTGTTGAAAATTTCCACCCCTACTCGAGATGTTGATTTATATATATATATTTTCAAATGCAAGTAAATTTTGCATCAAAGAATTTGGGGGGAACATGTCAAATTTATTTGTATCCGTGGAGTGCTAATTTATTTATTGTTTGTCATTAATTTGTTTAATGGAGTATTTACTCATGAACTTTTCATTAGGAACTGATAACAACTAATATTGCCACATGCATAAGGCATATAAATGTAATTCATAACTCAAATGTTAGATGACTTCCATGGCTGCTCGGTTCTTCATTTGGCTATTGCCTTGGCTAGACTGGTTATGCTAACCACTATGCCAAACTGAAATTATTTATTTTAGTTATTGTATAATTCATTGGCAAGGTTCTCTTGTTATTTATAATTTTTTGTAAGTTAAACATTTACCCTTTCTTTTCATCTTCATTTTTTGTTCTTGTTTGAGTTGAACGTAATATGGTCAAGACATTTGTTTTTTATTTCTATTATTTTCCACTTTGATGTTCTTGATTTCTTGAGTGGAATCGTTTTCAAGATGGTTTCAACAGGTATCAGATGAAGGTGATGTTCTATATGTTTTTCCAAAAGATTATCGGTCAAAGCTTGTAGCCAAGTCTTTTAGGATGAAAATTGAACCTTTTGTTGAGAAGGCAAAGGTATTAATCACCAATCACTTTACATCCTTCTCCTTAAATACATGTGGTAGTCTATTTTCCTCAAGAATGAGACTTAACTGCCCCAACACTGTACTTTGACCAAATTATGATATCTATTATTTTTGGCAGTCAGCCGCTGAATATGTAGTGAGGGTTTCCTTTGGGACAGCACTAATAGCTTCAATTGTGATTGTCTATACTACAATTATTGCTCTCCTCTCAAGTAGAAGGTATGTTATTCTTCAATCCTTGCAAGTTCTGGCTATTTTATTTGTTCCATTGATTGATAAAAGAAATGCTTTACTTTTCATATGTAATTGTAAGAATAGTTTTTTGTGTGTAACTTTTATATATTTTTTTCTTTTTTTTTTTTTTTTTTTTTTTTGGTGCAACAGTGATGAAGACAATCGTGGTAGACGAGGCAGATCATACGATTCTGGTTTCACATTTTACTTGAGTCCAACTGATTTGTTTTGGTAACGTTTTTACATTACTGTACATCTTGGCTGGTTATTCATAGATTACTCTTGATTTTTAGACAGGCCTTTGAGATGTTCTAGTTGGCCTAATTAGATGATTCTTACAATTTGAGATAGTTAATAGGCTTTGGATTAACTTATTCAGGAAAGGAATATGCTTATGTCCAATATCTTTTATGTTTGCTATAATCTCCAATAAACCATATTTCCAATAGTTTTCACTTCACATACTACATCATAAAGTTAGGTAGTTTTTACACTTATATTTGTTTGGTCAATTGGAATTGAATTGAGACACTTTAAAGTTAACTTGGATTTGAAGTTATACAGGTGTAAGTGGTGTAAATCTGATGATTTATGCAAGGTTATTTTGGGTAGAGTAAATTAGGTAAAGGTTAAAATTTGAGGTTATTACAGTTTTATGTGATGTAAAGTTTTCTTGTACTATACTTGGAGGTTCTGAACTTCTGATGGGAATAGATTAAGTGACATAAATTTGGCATTTTTGTTCATTATATCTTGGAGGATGAAGTATTTTTAAGAAATGTAAAACATGCATGGATATTGTTGTTATCTTGATTGATTTAACATGATATTATTTGAAAATATTAGCACTGCTTGGATCATATGACATGAGGGTGACAAGATGTGTCTAACTGGGGGAGAAGGTTTTCAACATAATACTCTCAATTGAAATCCAAAATGGAACAATTATGAATATGGCACATTTATTCAGGTCTGCTTGTTTAGGTTTGCCTTGACTGTAAATTCTAACATTTATTTTATGTTTCAGTCATGCCATAATTAGTCTCCCCAAAATATTTGAGCCCAAAATTCAGGTCATACATGGGTTTGTATATAGTCGGTAGATCGGGCATGATGCCCCTCCCTCCGCTAACTAAGAAAATAATTTTTATGCTATCCATAAAATGTGCAATTTTCTTCTTAACAACTTTTACTCTTACGATTTGAATTAGCCATAGACTACCATGTAGATGTCCATCATCTTGTTCAAAATAGGCTCCAACACGAACATTGATTCGGACATTAACATTACCCTAAGATTTGTTTTTCATTTAAATGAACATATTAGTTTTAAATGTTTAATTTGTTTGGAACTTGAATGGGGCCATTATTGTTAGATCACCACTAGTCCCAAAAGATTAAATTGTTAGGAAAAGGATCCAACAATGCATATCAAGCTCTCCAACACTCTCCCTCACGTGCAACCCCTGTTTTGCATGTGGAGATGCCATCATCAAACATAGAGAAGAACAAAATGCAAACAGGGAACAAATGCAGACTGAGAGACTTAAAAGACCAATGCCTGCCCCAATTTGAGCTCTAATATGATGTTAGATCTCCACTAGTTCCAAAAACTGAAGTTGTTAGGAAAGGGGTCAAATAATTCATGTCAAGCTCTCTGACAATTGTTTGGTGCAGTGGTAAAACCTTAGGCTGTTAAGGGTGAGAACGTGAGCTTGATTCTAAGAGTAGCCACTTTGTGCATTTCAAGGTAGAGGTTAGGTCTGATCTAGTCCATATCTCCTAGAACCCTCGATTCCAAGGACTGTCATTGGAGAATGGCATTTTTTAAATGGTAGTTCAATGCTCCATGATAATCAAACTAATCAAATACACTGATTTGGTAGTGTCACGTAGTTTTATGTTTACATTCTTATATTGTTGAGTTTATGCTTGACATTATGTGATTTGTAGTCATCTTCTAGAGGTCCTAATCCTCTTGACATGAGTGTTGTAAATCTTTTAGATGCATTCTTCAACCTTTTTTACGTTTCCTAGCAAATGGCAATGTTTTGTAAAAACCAGTAGTGAATGGATTTTTATTTTTTATTTTTTTATGATGATGTGCCATATCTTTGTGCTTGTTTTTTACTCATGCAAGTTTTTCTTTTAGGTACTGGGATCCATATTACTACAGGAGGCAACGAGTGCGAGCAGATGGTGATGGGATGAACTTCATTGAATCTGTAAGTGGAGATATTGAATAATTGATGTTTTACTGGTTGCTTCCGACTTCCCAAATCATATTTTACTCAATGCATCAATGTTTTGTAGATTTTCTCATTTGTATTTGGGGACGGTGATCCAAATCAAGTATTGAAGAAGAGCGGTCGAAGTTGGTAAAATCAAGCACTAAATTCAGTGGTCCGTTGCTTTCAATATTTTTATTTCTAACTTATTGGTTGTGACTTTTCACATTCACATTTTTCATTTTATCCATCCTAAATTCCGAGCAACATCACTTTGATCTCTGCCTCCTTGTGAATAATTCAATTGAGGTAAGAAAGGCAGTTAGTCTTTCTTTTCTACTTCAAGAAAACATTATTTTCTTCAAGCAAATTCAGTGTCTATATTTAGGGAAACAGAGTGTATGAGATTAGTTGTCGTTAAAAATGGAAAGTGCAATGTGAGCTCAATTTATAAGGTTCTTTGTCATGTGGGGTGCTGCACTTTCCTTGGAAAGGCATACTAAGGACTCATTGAAGGAGCTGTTTTGCTTGGATACTTTCTTTGTAGCTATTCTGATATTAATAACCTAAGGAAGGTGATTAATGTTTTGATTAATTTCTCTTGTATGTATAAGGGTAGTGAGGATCATCTATTGCTTCATTGTGAGGTGGCTAGGGAGTTTTGGAACCTTTTGTGCTCATTGTCTTGGTTGCGTGTGTTTTCCTGTGAACAGTTTTTGAAATGTTGAATCGTTGGAGTTGGGTTGAACTAAGATGAGGTCTTGTTTGGTGTAGTGGTGGCTCTGTTAGACCTTTTTATTTTTATTTTTATTTTTAAGAAAGGGACTCTTTTAGACTTTATGTGGTGTATTTGGAAAGTCGGAGGGAGCAAAAATCTTCTATTTTGTGTTATTATCTTTCTGGCTCAAAATCTTTGTCCTAGTTCCTTAGATTTCTGGTAAAGCTTTTTCAAAATTTATGCACGTCTATCATAGTAGGTGTTTTTTTGGGATAATTGTGTCTACATGGGTTGCATTCTTGCTTTTGGTAGTCACGGTGAGCCAAAAAAAAAAAAAAAACAAAGAGAAAAAAAAATTGGGTCTGGCAAGGTATGCCTTAAAAAGTGCAAACACTTCTAAGAAGGTGTTGTATCTGTGTAAGACTAAACTCTGACATGCCCCAACACATATTGGACATACTTCAAAAACGTGTCCTATTATTTTGTTGATATTTTTCTAATAAAACACACTTTGGATACTTGTGGATACATGTGTATATCACTTAAAACACATGAAACCCATATGGCCTTGGCTCAAGTTTGAAGAAAATAACTAGGGGGTTAATGATTAAACTTAGAACAGCTTGGATTTATACCTATTAATCATTCCTTCTTTAGCCCAAAATAATTCTAGTTTGTTTGGGAATAGGGGTTTTAAAAATGGATATTTGGACTTTTTATTCACACTTTTTCAACATATAAAATGTGGAAAATGATTTCTTACTATCTTGATATGATAAAATATTAATATATTTGCAACTAAAAATGAATAAGTTATTATTTAATATAAAAAATAAATTTATTTTCCGTTATATCCCTAATGTGTTGTGTTTTAATTTTTTTGAGAATTTTTGTGTCCTGTTTGTATCATATTGTATTTGTATCCTATTTGTATCTGTGCTTCTTAGGTTATGCCTATTATTGTATGTTGGAGATATTTGTGGCAACATAGTGGACTGCTTAATTATCCCGTGTCCATAATTAGTTTGATTGGTGCATCATAATGTTTAATTCATTTAGTTTCCTGCGTAGATTTGTATGAAGTATTTACATGTATTCTTTCGCTTTAAGATTTGCTGCAGTTATGTGTAAAAGAATATGTAGTATCTCCATCAGCAGCTTTTCCATATAGTGATACCGCCATTCTTATGTACTTTGTTTGGTCGGTCACACTGGTACTTGTGCGTGACACTGATTGTTTTTATCATTGACCTCATATTGTTGTTATGCCACACTAACATGATGTCATCTTTGTTGCTTCAACCACCATTGCTATTAAACACTGCAAATATGTCCTAATGCTTGAAGATATTCATTTACTGTTGTGAATCTCGAGGAATTTATAGTGTGGAAAACCATGGGCTTGTTTGGTTTGTGTTTGTAGAGTAGTTTTTGAGATAAAAGGTACGAAAACTTGTTTGGTTTGCCTTTTTTCAGAAATGGTTTTGGGAAATTGTTTTGGGGAGAGAGTTTTAAAAAAAGTGATTGATTTGATGGTATGAGAGAGAGAGAGTGATTTTAGAAAGAAGCAAACCAAACAAAATTTTAAGATTTTTTTTGGAAAAATTTGTTTGGTTTGATTACTCTTGAAAGTTTGTTTGTAGAGAATTTTTCCCAAAAACAAACCAAACAAGCCCCATATTTTCTACTATCCCTTTAGGACCTGAGATTGAGAGGTGCATTAGGACTCTTTTGACATGTTGAGCTTGTCCATTGTGCTCGAAGCCTACTTTGAAAAAACATCAATGATATGCTTAATGCATACTTTTGTAGAAGTCTTTATGACATGATTTCTATTTAAGTTTCTTCAAGGAAACTACAGGATGGATATATATTGACATAGCGAAAACTACTGGAGAGGAAACCGATGCAGGTTGTGGTTAAAGTTCATTATTATGCGAGGGAATTTGCAGAAAATTGTGAGGCTCATAATTGGTAATTTTGCATGCCTTAGAATTGACCATGCAGGAAATGAGGTGCATAATTTTTTAAAATATCTCTTTTTATGCGACTTTCATATATGTTTTGTTCCATCATGTAATTCATATGAATTTAGTTGGTTTATTTTAACAGAATTTTGTTGCAATATTGTACTAACAATGACTTTGAACTTTCTTGATAGCCTTTGATTTGTTCTTGTGAATTTGTCAAGCTGTTATTAATTAGATAGAAGGATTAACTTTTGACCATATCTTAAGGCAGTAATAGAATAGTTGACCGACACTTGGGGGACACGTGACCATTGCTTAGACACACATGAAAGTCATTATAAGTTTGAACTAAACAACTTGTTCATACATAAATTTGTGTTATGTAGTGTATTTTTATAAACTTTGAATGAAATATTCATATATGTATGACTTATAATGAATATATAAACCATATATTTTGCTTCTCCCCCATTTTTTGAAATTGTCGTGATAGGGTGTCCATGTCGTGTCACATCTCCGTGTCTGTGTTTCTTAGCCCTTACCACACCTCAAGTAATTTAGTAGATAAAAATGTAATTTCATGCTTAGAGGTTTTCATCTTTTAATGATTTTGCTTATTCTAAATTATTGAATTATTCTTATTTTTATTTTATTTTTTTATGTTTTCCTTGTCTACTGATTTTGTCTTTTAATTTGAACTCTATCTACAGATTGGAGAATACATAGCATCGAACGGTGGTGTTGTCACAGCTGAAGAACTTGCTCCATATCTTGATTTAGAGACTACGAAGGAAACGGTATTTTTATGCTTGATAATCATTAAAAAAAACTAGTTTGTTGTTTTGCTCTTGCATTTGCAATGCTTGTTTGTGATAATTCTAGCTGGCAATAATGTTTGATGGGATTCTTTAGACAGCTGGAAATTATCTTTTTATCGGATTACAATTTGTTAAAACCTACCACTACCACCTACTCCACCTACTACACACCTACCACTACCACCTACTATCACCTACTCCACCTACTACACACCTACCTACTCTACTCTTCTATATATAGGCATCATTGTAAACATATTCATATCAATCAATAATAATACATACATTTTATTCTCTCTCTATCAATTTATTTTACATGGTATCAGAGCAAGGTTAAGAAGCTAGTAATTCTGCTTCACCGGCGGGCAGCAGCCTCGCCTTGGCCGCCAGCCGGACCTCTACACATGCCTTCACTCCCTCTCTCTCTCACTCTCCACTTCCAAAGAAACCCTAATCGACCCAAACGACCTCCTCGCCTGAATCTGAAACTCCGATGATCGCAGAATCAAAGGCGTTTACTAAGAAAAGAGAGAGCTCGTCGAGTTCGTCTTCATTGGAAAGTTCTCAGGCGGAGGTGGCTCGTCGATGCACGCACTGTGCGTCGGAGAAGACTCCACAATGGCGAACTGGACCATTGGGGCCGAAGACGCTGTGCAACGCGTGCGGAGTCCCTTTCAAGTCGGGCAGGCTGGTGCCGGAGTACAGGCCGGCGGCGAGTCTGACCTTCGTGTTGACTCAGCACTCGAACTCTCATCGAAAAGTAATGGAGCTCCGGCGGCAGAAGGAGATGCTCCGGCAAGGACAGCAGGAGGAGGACCAGCAGCATCACCACTACCACTGCATCTCCCCTCCAAGAAGCCTGTGAACCTTCTTCTTACAGTGATGATGAGTCCACGGACAGCCCCACTCCAAATCACATTGCCTATTATCCATAAAATATCACCATTCCACAATTTTGAAGTGAATAGTGCTGGTGGGCCCTACCACTAGCAAAAGCAATTTATAATAATAACCACCAGCTCACTCCTGTTTGCCTTTTCCTCTTTTTTTCTTTCTTTTGCCTTTTCTTATCATGACACCCACATGGCATGTCCCTCAGCCTTTTGACAAGTTATTTTTCTTTTTCTTCTTCTTATCCCCGTATTTATCATTTTCGTTTTTCATATATATATATATATATATATATTTAAAAAAAAACCTTTATATCATTTTTTTTTAAACTTCTCCACTTTGTGTTGAGCCATTCTGCTCCACTCTGTCAATCCCTTTGTTTCAACCTCACATAAGTTTCTATCATCAAATCTATTTGAGTTTGAGGGGGCGGCCCTTGACGGTGCTGCCTCCGTGTTTCCCACGCCGCCGAACACGTTCACTCCCCCCTGCTCCTCCACTACAGCGTATGACGGACCTCTAAATCGGAACATAACGGTGGCCTTTCGCTTCAGCTCCTTGTTTTTCGCCTTTAGCACACTTATCTCTGCTCGCGCATCCTTATACATGCGCTGGAGCAGAGCCAGTTGGGCGTTTAACTGCTGCACCTCATTTGTCCTACTCTGAAGCCGGTGCGACAAGTTTGTGACCGTCGTCATGGTTTCCACACATGACTTCAATGTATACTGATTGGCTTCAATATCCGTTTGCACTGCCATTTTTTGCTCCACAGACCGCATAGGAAAGTTCAACGGAGCAAACCCTGGGGCGCTTGGTTGAGGTTCAAGGGCCACCGCACTAGTTATCTCTCTTGTGGACTCGTTGAGGTCGGGAAAGAGAGTGAGCAGACCACAGGACGAAGAGGCTATATTCTGGGTAGCTGAACGGGAAGAAGAGGCCATGTTATGGGTTACAGAGTGTTTCAGAATGCAAATGTTCAGATGTTTCAGAATGAAAATGTTCAGAGGTTTCAGACTGGTTTGGTTTACACAGCCTCCGCATTGGTTTATATTGCCAATGACGAAGAGGACGACACGCGTTCTGTCGATCACGTGCTTCGCCGCGTGTCTAGCGCGCCTTTTGATGGCTCGCCGTTCGATGCTTTCTGTCGGGCACGCCTTTTGATGCAGTGGGCGCGCCTTTTGAGGGCTTGATATATATATCCATGTATATATATTTGGGCAGCCTATCTACACCATCATACAGTTTATTCTACAACGGTCCGGCATGACCCCATAAAACTGTCCCGACATTGATTCCGGTTTGCTTTTACAACGGTCCGGCATGACCACATAAAACTGTCCCGACATTGATTCCGGTTAGCTTTTACAACGGTCCGGCATGACCCCATAAACTGTCCCGACATTGATTCCGGTTAGCTTTTCCATCGGTCCGGTGTGACCTCGTCAACTGTCCAGATATTATCTGCTACAACGGTCGGACACGACCATACAGTGTCTTCTATCCTCTTTTATTTTATGTATTAGTCTATTTTCTTATTTTGTTACTCTTTCCAAACTCAAGTTGATTTGTGTCTCTCCTCCTTGAGTTTGCGGGGGGCTGTTAAAACCTACCACTACCACCTACTACCACCTACTCTACCTACTACACACCTACCACTACCACCTACTACACACCTACCTACTCTACTCTTCTATATATAGGCATCATTGTAAACATATTCATATCAATCAATAATAATACATACATTTTATTCTCTCTCTATCAATTTATTTTACACAATTCAATGGATGAACCTTTGCAATAGCTTAGATTATTCAATTCTAGAACAAGGAGCTATTTATTGCTGATAAAAACATAAAAGAAGGAGCTATTTATGATTGTTGTTTTAGTTTCTCAGTCCTTTGGTCACTGATATTTTCATTTGCAATGCTTGTTTGTGATAATTCTAGCTGGCAATAATGTTTGATGGGATTCTTTAGACAATTGGAAATTATCTTTTTATCGGATTACAATTCAATGGATGAACCTTTGCAATGGCTTAGATTATTCAATTCTAGAACAAGGAGCTATTTATTGCTGATAAAAACATAAAAGAAGGAGCTATTTATGATTGTTGTTTTAGTTTCTCAGTCCTTTGGTCACTGATATTTTTCTCTTTTCAGAGTCCTTTTTTATTAACTCCTTTATTATTCAAGGAATGTCTAACTTCTGAAGTTTGATTTCAAAGCTTTATAGTTATGCTTGCAATAAAGAACTGATCTTTCTTTTTATCCGGATTATTTCATTATGAATGCTTTGATGTTTTTGTGTTGTGTGCATATATTGTGTTTGTCTACTTCTCACCAATTTTCTTTCTGTCTTTCTTTCTTTCTTTTGTCTTCTTCTTCTTCTTCTTCCCATTTTTTTTTTTTTTTTTGTGTTAATGTATACATGTTTTTCTACATCCTTGAATAACATGCTTTCAAGAAATTAAAAATTTTCTGGCTTGTTATTTACTGCCTCCAGTTAAATTCTTATTGTGCTAACCATCCTTGTCTAAATTTCTGGTTGCTTCCAGGCTGATGACTCATACATATTACCTGTGCTCTTACGGTTTGATGGTCAGCCAGAAGTAGATGAGAAGGTGTGTTAAATTGCTGTATTTGTGAAGAACTTAATTAAGGGTTTATGTTTTTAGATAGTTTTGTTTTAAATTGTTTCGGGACGCTCTAGTCTTGCAATGAGACATACTTAAAAGTTTCAAAGAGTTTGTGAAAAATGCTACAGTAGTTTGCTATTTTTCTTAAGTTGTTTATAAACACATTTAGCTCTCATTTAAGGCCCTGCTGTCCCTACTCCATGTTACTTTCCATAGTCTTATATTCCCTATTCTGTGTTAATTTCTAAGCATTGTTTGACAAGTTTGCATAAATGACCAAAATGTTATTTTTTATGTAGTCCATATGAAGCTTGTTTTAAGGATGATATCTTTCTTATGAAACATCTTGTAGCTCTTCAATTCGTTGAACTCTAATTCATAGTTGGAAGTTTAAAATCCTTGAGGTAGAAGAAGTTCAGGCTTTAAGGGCCCTTACCTTCTTCCCCAAAATCTCAGTTTTCATTTTCACACCCTTCTTTGCATTTCACTGATGAAACCACTTTTTTTTTTTTATATTATTTTTTTAACTTTTCACTTGCAATTAATATAGGGAAATATTCTTTATCGATTTCCATCACTACAACGTACAGCTTCTCCTCAGAGGAGTGGAAGGAAGGAATATGTTGGAAGAAAATGGGCTGATTGGGTTGGAGGGGCTGAGAAGTTTTTCAAGGAGAATAAATGGCAATTCAGGTTTCCTATTTTACTTGTTACTGTAATATTGGTCTGGTTAGGGTTTCATATCACACAGTTTTCTGAAATGGGTAAGTGCTTATTATGCAGTAAAACTAGCTCATCTGAGAGGGCAATGGTCGTTGGACTGGGGGGACTAAATCTCTTTGGGGTTATTGTACTTGGTACCATGTTAAAGTACGTTTCTATTGACAAGCTTCTTAATTTCCAACTTCTGTAATTCCTCTGTACCTATCTAACATCTCTGCTTGCATATTTATTCTAAGGAATGTTGCAGTTACACCGACTGGATTCATTACGTTTGTTTCTGACATATTTCCTTTACTTCAGGTGGGAATTATTGTTTCATTTCCCAAAATAATACATTGCACTCTATGATCCAGTGAATACAATTATAGGTTTCCTTTCCTGTTGTTTCGTACTAATGTATCTTAGTGAATGTATTTAGTGCACTTAGTGATCTCTCCCACTGTTCATCCAATTTTGGTGTCACTCTTTTTATGAGTAACACATGATTGCATGTGTAAAGAGGCCATTGACTGTAGTTTTAGATTTCAAGTTGAAAGAATAAAATTAGTTCTGTTTCTCTTATTTTATTTATTTGTTTTTGCAATTGATGGTTACTATTTTAATGACAGCATTGGGAGTATTATGGTTTATATTCATCCCCCTTTAGGTACCTAATTTAGAGGCAATTTTTTTGGTACTTTCATCTTCGACCCCACTACCAAAACGTACCAAAAGACCTTTGGTTCTATTACTCTGTATCCAAACAATGCACAGGTTTTGGATAATTCAATGTATTAACATGGCATGGTTGCTCACTTGTGAACCTGAATGGGCACCCAAAACTGGGTTTTTTCACTGATGCATTGATGTTGAGTGGATTGAAATCTTGGCATCATGATATGTTTTCTGCAAAAATGGCAGAATAGAGTTCAGTTTGGCCAAGTATTTGCTGATTTTTCTTCATTTGGCCTTCTGGCTATCCTGCTGATGAATTGAAGTTGTACTGTTATATCCCATTGAGTTGAAGTTCTTAGTATAGGCTTGGTTGCTGTTGAACTGATTTCCTCATAAAGGTCAGACTGATGCATTAGGAAATCACTTATCTGTTAACTATATTTATTGGAAGCACCTATATATAATTTGATTTTCTCTGTCTGTATAGTCATTAGTTCAATTTCACAGATCTATGCTGCTTCTTTTTTTGCAATTCCTTTGGTCCGGTGGTTTTTCATTCGCAAGAGAAATGCTGACATAGAGAAGAGAAATCTTGCAAGGGAACAACGTGCTCAAGCACTTGAACTACCAGATATTTCTCTCAGGCGAAAGGTACTATCTGAAGGCCTAGTCTACATATCGTAATATCTTATGGTACCAATTGTGGTTTGCGGTTCTAATTTTCATTGGATAGTTTGGAAATCCTATTGTGTATGTATACAGTCAAACAGTCAGTTGTGAAATTTGACATGCACGATTGCCATAGGAAGATTATATATAATCTGGCGGTCTGTTTTGTAAAATATGAATCTGACAAAAAGTTATGAAAGGATGCAAGACTATAAAGCTCTACACCAAGTGTAAATGAATCCCTCCCAATTATTTCGCAAAATTGAGTGTTGGATTACATATTACTTTTATGCTAACCTTGTTTGCCAGGTTTAAGAATGTGGAAAAAAAACATTGTAGTTAATTTTCATATTGGTAATTTAGATTATGTTGGTCTTTAATATTGAAATGTAAATTGAGATGCTCACCTTAATGAACTTGGCCCTTCAACTTTTGCTCTTTTGAATCTAGATTTTGTACTAGCACACAGGTTGTCATTTATTATATATTTTAGGATCGAATTTACATTCGCTTGCTAATTTTTTTTAACTTGCATAGAAATATTGTTCACCACATATATAATCTGTTGTGGCATAATTAAATTTAACTATCTGCTTGCGATCTGTTTCAGCTATTGAGTGCTCGGGATATGGCCCAGAGAACATTCATTGGACAGGATAGGATTGTCTATAGTACTGACAGGGACTTGATTGAGCAAGACTACGAAGCACGAGAGTGGGATCAGAAATTCCGAGAGATTGAGAAATCTGACTGAGGCTATGAATTCATGTTTATTCATCGTTTTGCCCTCAATTAATACAATGAAAGAGAGTGAGATTATTTGCCATGTAGTGTTTTGCTTCCTTGTAGTACGATGTTCAAACGTCAAGATGAGGGAAAGGTGGGAAATTGTTAGCAGTAATGACTCTGTATATGTGTATTACTTATTTGTTCCAAAGGTCAACACATTAGATAATTTTGATTATGATACATATAGCAATTTGCTGTTCTACGATCACATCTCTCTTTGATATCAAACACTGTTGCTTGTGCTTTTTCTTTATTGTGACTTGAGGTGTGCTTATGTATGAATTCTTGGGCTCGACGGAAGATGTCGAACTATTTGTGGAAAGATAAGTTGCTGATGTTCTACTTAATCTTCGTTACATATTTTGTTTGCTGCATGAAAGGTGTGTTGAACAAAGGCTTGCAAAATTGTATGGGATTTGATTCTCTTTTTGGGTATGGTATGCTAAAATTTTGTGTCCAAGCAAGAAGAGACTGTAACTCATTTAACAATCGAGTTCCCAAACTATGGAAATAGTTTCTTTGCACACAGGCAAGGCTTAATGCATCTAATCTTCTCCAGAACTTCGTGCAGTGGTCTTTTTAGTCCTTGACAAAAGGGAAACGTAGGTTTTTACACTGTTTGTTTTGGTGAATCAGGTTTATTGGGTTTTATTTTATTTTTTATTTTTTACATTTTCTGACGTTTGGGTGGAAAATGTTTACGTTTTAGAAGATAAAAAATATTTTTCGGACTAAAATTTTTCTAGTGCCACCACATTTCCATCTCAACAGCACTATCAACTAACACATAGTTTCATAGTCACCACCAAACATAAGAAAATGTAATAGCTGTTGAGCCGATGTGTGCAGGCTAAGTTGATGTCAACCAATGAAGCACGCTGTCTCAGTAGAAGAGTAGCTGGATTTGACTTAGATTATGCAAGTATAAATGTGATTTTGGAAAAGTCCAAATATTCAAATATTGATATCAGAGTGACTGTCATGTGAGTGTAACATTATATTTATATATTCTGAAAATGTTTCACAAAGGTCATGCATAGTAACTCTATAACCGTAAGCCGTGAATAACCTCACTATTAGGCTAATGTTAATGTTAGCGGAAAGCTACATCTGAATGAAGTCATTTTTCCAATCTGAAGGCAATGCTATATAGCAACAACACAAGCATCAGTAAAACCCTAATTCTACACTATTTCTTCCTCTTCTTGTGTGTCATCTGAGGCTAAAAGGTGATTAAGAGAAATCTTTGCCTTCTTCGGCTTTGTTGAGTTTTCTTTGATATTGTCATCGGCCTTCCTCTTGATCGATTCATCCTCCTCATTTTCTTCACCTTCTTCTTCAGGCCTATTTCCAGCAATTTCTCCTTCAGAACCCTCTGCTTTTTCCTGCAACGATGATTGCAAATGATCTTCATCCGCTTTCTTTTTGCCATTCAAATCTCCTTTGTCAGTTTGCTTCTCACATTCTGCCAAAAATGAGCAGACTTCCTCACTGTTTGCAAGATCAAGAGGGGTTTTGCCTGCTTTTGTCTTGGCACTAAGACTTGAGCCTTTCTTTACCAAGTACTTGGCTAGTTCCAAATGAGACCCTTGAACAGCATAGTGAAGAGCCGTCATGCCCTTGCGATTGGAAGCTTTGACAGAGATCCCGCATGAAACGAGTATTCTGACAACTTCTAAATGACCCTTCTGGGAGGCAAAGTGAATTGCGCCCATGTCATCCATAGCAGCGGCACCAACATCTGCCTTTTTCTTGCACAGATAGCTTACCACCTGTGCCTGTCCAGACCATGCTGCTAAATGTAGTCTAGGGTCCAATCAAGTTAAGGAAACAAACAAATTAGAAGTAAATGCTAAAATATGAACTGGTAAAATTGAAAATACTCCACAAAAAAAGAAAAAACTTTCACTGCTCCGGCTCAATACATTAAAGTACCATGAAACAGCAGAGGACTGAAAAATAGCTATCAAAAACACAGAAATAAAATGCAGCACATAATCGAGATTTGCAAGTAAACTACCTAACTAAAAACCAGCAGCAAGACTCCAAAAAGTGAAGGAATTTAGCCATCACAACCCACAGAGTCTTCCCTAGTAGAGAGTGATGGAAACACCCTCCTATCTCTCAACAAAAGACCGTAGAAAGCATTCACCTTAAACCCCACTTTCTCAGTACTGTCCAACATAAAGACTCTTGGCCCTTTCCAATGCCCCTAGGCCCATAAAGCAAATTGAGTTAGATTGATCAATTGATCCATTTCTCAATCTTACTCATTCCTTCTCAACCCAACATCTCAAAACATATCATGACCCAAACCCTGAACTTAATCTTCTATCAACGTGTCTTTATCAACAAGAAGGTGTAATATAGTAGAAATTTTCACACCACCAATGCTGCCAAAACTTCACCGTATCTACCCTCCGCACCTTGAAACTAGAAAATTCTCATAAAATCTTTCCAAACTTGACAAATAACCTGCCTCATATGACATAGTTACCTCTAAAGAGGTCCAGTCACTTGTTAATAAAGTTTGACTTCCAAATCTAAGCGGTATTGAGCAATTTATAAGAGAAACAATTTTAAAGACATATATAGAAAGAGAAGGCTGCTTTGGACTTTTTCCTCTCACTTGAAGAGTAAAAAGAGTTTTATAAAACCTCTTCTTTCAAAAGGTTTAGCCATTTTAAAAGGTCAATACATTATAACCTCATGTAAATAATTTCATTGCCTACATTGGTGATCAGGGTCAAAAGTGGTGATCCTAATAAAGAAGCACAATGGAACAATCAAGGCCAACAAGAATCACCAATAAACACCCAGCAAAATATTTCATTTCCTTTTTTTCATCTAAAAAGTTAAAAAATCAAAATATATCCCCCAGAAGGAAAAACCCTTCGAAGAGAACATTCAACAATTTTGTTTGTTTTTCTTAGAAAATGGAAGAAAGGACAAAAGCAAGCAACAAAAATTGGCTTTATGTCTCTCGCATTTTTGGTTAGTTTCCAAAAAGCAACAAGTAGGAATGGCAACGGGGCGGGGCAGGGCCGGGGATCACACTCCTCGTCCACGATCCCCGATGGTAGAAATTTTCCCGTCCCCGGTCCCAATCCCCGACGGGGAGCCTATCACCACCCTCGGCCCCGTCCCCCAACGGGGATCGGGTTTTCCCGACCCCGATAATTCTCCGGCTAAAATTATAAATAAAAAAAAAAACAACAACAACAACATAAACATCCAACAACAACAGATCTGAGCACACACGCATCAACAACAACAACAATCGTCAACAGATCTGTGAGAGCATATATATTCATCAAATGTAAAAAAATAAAAATAAAAAATAAAAAAATCTAACACATCTTTTTCTTCATCTTCATTAGAGGCTCAGATAGATGAATGAGGTGACAGAAGCGAGAGGCAGATCGGAGGGACAACGACGGCGATCTGAGCTCAGACGGAATGGAGAGACGACGGCGATCGGAGGGAGGCAGAGAGATCATCGTGAGACAGATCGGAGGGAGGGAGAGAGATTGGAGGGAGGGAGAGAGATCGGCGTGAGGCAGATCGGACGGAAACAGTGATGGAGGTCGGGGGGAGGCAGTGAGGTCGGAAGGAGGGAGAGAGATCAAAGGGAGGTACATCGGAGGGAGACGAGGGTTTGAGAGAGAGAGAGAGAGACTTGAGTCAGAATATTTGGTAGTGTTACATCTTCATTAGGAAACATATATATATATGGAGGGTTATAACTGTAATTTCCTATCGGGGAAACGGGGATAGGGGACGGGGACGGGGACAGGGATGGGGACGGGGACGGGGACGGGCACGGGTCCGGAGCTGGGGAAGGTATCACTGTCCCCAACCCGAAAATAATCGGGAATTTATTTTTTAATACCATCCCCGGCCCGTGGGGAGTTTTTTTTGGGAAAAAACCGTTCCATTCGGGGTCGGGGGGTTGGGTCCCGTCGGGCCGGTTTCAAATTGCCATCCCTAATAACAAGCACGTAACAACCAACTGACATAGTTGTGGCAGATTCAGTTGACTGCAGATTTACAACAATCCCAACGAGCACTTAGAAGGGCATCTCCAACCCTAGATTTAAATCTACATCAAATTTAAATTTGGATTAAAAATCACTGAAAAACCTCTCCACTCCTTGACTCAAACTTATTCTATCAAATTGAGTTTTAACCATTTTTTTAAACCCAAACCAAGGCAGACCCAATTGTTTACTAAAAATTTTCAAGATCATTTTCTAACTTTCAAATTTACAACTCTGCTATTACTGAAACTTTTACCAAAATTTATGCTTAAATCTGAGTTTGTCCATTGGAGTACTTCATATCAAATAAAGATTTTACACAAATTTGAGTAAGGGCTAGAGATGACCTAACAATTCTACAAAACCCAGTTCAAAAATTTAAAGAATCAACAAGCTCATCAGAAGATTAAAGCAATACATATGAGGGTTGGAAGCGTTCTTCGGGAGTGCTTATCAAATTGAGTTTTGCCCTTTTTCTACCCAAATTCCCCAAACTTTCAAAACTGAAATTTTTACTCAATTGGAGTGCTTCATATCAAATAAGCCTTTTACTCAATTTTTTACTCAAATTTGAGTAAGGGCTAGGGCTGGCCTAACAATTCTACAATACCCAGTTCAAAATTTTCAAAGAATAGCCAACTCAATCAGAAGATTAAAGCAATACACACACACATATATATAAGAGGGTTTGGATACGGTGTTCGGGAGTGCTTATCTCTAGAGTTGATTGCCAAGGGATTGGAGCTGCATATTGACTGCACGGCGACGAGGTCGCCTGACCTTGCGGCGGTGTGTAGATCCTCCGCTAAATTTGATGATTTCTGAGCTTTCGCCATTCTCTCTCCCTCTCCCTCTCCCTCTGCTTTGTTATTCCATACTAGTATTTGTTTTTTTTTTAAATAATACTATGTGTATCAGTTAATATAGTAATTAATATGCTGATAGATAATGTTAATATAGTAATTAATATGCTGATAGATAATGTATTATAATTAGTATTTTTTTTTTTTTTTAATAATACTATGTGTATCAGTTAATATAGGAATTAATATACTAATAGATAATATATTATAATTTTAATGATTTTAGATATTTATAATTTGTATAATATATAAGGTCAATAATATTAATATAATACTAATTGATACATACATTAATTAATCCATATAACTGTTAATTTTTTTGGATTTTTTACTGGCTGGTCCTACTTTTTATAGTTATTCCCTTCTTAGTCCTGAATATTGATGTTGTGCACCAATAGGTCCTGGAGTCTTTTTTTTTACCTGTTTTTACCTCTGTTTTGTTTTTCCCTGTTTTGGCACGTTTCTATTTTATTTTTGCCATCAAAATACTATAATGTGAGTTTGGGTTTGGATTTGTGATTTGGATTTTTGTAGAACTTCGTGATTTGTTAATGCATTATTGTGGAGCTTCGTGATTTGTGATTTCACGCTTGGTGTATATTTGGATTTTGCGATTTGCGATCTCATGGAAGGAGCTCGATTTGTGATTTGCTTTTTATAAATATGTGAATCTTCGTGTTTTGTGATTTCGCGTTTAGTGTATAGTTAGATTTTGTGATTTGCGATTTTGTGGATGGAGCTCAACTGGTATGTTTGATTTTGATTTCAATTTCGATGTTTTGGTGTTTTTTAGTTTGAGTTTATGATTTTGATTTTGTTTATGATATTGTTGTTATTCTGCTGTTTCTGCGATTGAATTTGTATTTTTATCATGATATTGAAAGCTTTGAGATATGTATATTAGATTTTTTTTTTTTTGGTTACAAAATTGTTTTGGTTGAACACAGGTGTTGGTTTGTGATTTTCTACAGTGATAATTTTATCACTGAATAGTTTGGGGGTATCATTGGATTAACTTTTTTAACACTGATAAATTTATCAGTGAGTATAGGAATAGGAGATGAAAAAGTTGTATAATATAATGGTAAGATTCAAATCCAGTTATCATGCCCAATAAGTGTAAGCCTTATTCACTATTCATGCTCTTGGTCTTAGATAGTGTTAATTGTTAAATTTATCACTATTGATTTTTGGATGTGTTTGAGTTGGTTGATAATTCTATCACTATATTAGATTTTGCTTTAGATTGTTTGAGTTGTTTGCTAAAATGTAATTGTTGTTTGTTGCAAGATTTATAGTGATGGAAAATTCTTTGTTTCTTATGTGCAAATTTAGAGGTGTGACATTGGTTATCAAGTATAATGATGGATTTAATTTCAAGGATTTAGCATATAAATTGTGTGCAAAGTGGAGTGAGTTAGTTGGTAGTTCTTTGAATATATCGTATTCAATGCCCGTACATTCTTATTATGGTCTACAAAGTGAAGAGGATTTAGAGGTTATGGTTGGACTCGCACTTTCTTGTGATATTCATCGTATTGATGTTTTTGTTAAGTGTTGTTCTTTGGGTGAAAGTTATATGATTTGTGATGGTGAAGCTGGTAGTAGTAGTAATGTTGTTTGTGAAACTGATTTTTTGCCTTCATTTTATTTAAATCAACGGAAACCTTTGCTTGGGTTAATTGTATAAAAGGAGTGGTTGCTCAAGGAGTTGTTGAATTTCGAGATGCGTTGTCAAAGTATTCTATTCATTCCGGTTTTGATTTTGATTTTGTTAAGAATGACAAGGATCGTGTCACTATTCATTGTAAGAAAAAGACTGATTTGGGATGTTTATGGAGCGCGCATGCTAGAGTGAAAAATTCTAGTAAAACTTTTGTTATTAAACAATTTGATGATGTTCATACGTGTGGATCTTATTTTCATACAATTAAACATACTAGGATGACTTCGAGTATGATTGGTGGGCTAATTTCAAGTGAGGTTCGTAATAAGGCTTTGACATCGGTTAGTGAGGTGGTTTGTGATTTCAAGGACTATTATGGAGCATAAGTTTCTTATCAGCGAGCTTGGATGGGTGTTGAAAAAACAAGGGATGTTGTTTTTGGTGACTATTCATCTTCATTTGACGATCTTCGTTGGTATGTTGATACCGCTAATTATTGTAATCCGGGGAGTGCTTTTGATATGGGATTTGATATTGATAGTAAAGGAAGACATTTCAAACGCTTGTTTTCCGCTTTTGAGGCATGTATTCATGGTTTCAAGTATTGTCGGCCTGTGTTGATGCTTGATAAAACTTTCTTGAAAGGAAGACACAAAGGTTGTTTATTGGCTGCTACGGAAAAAGACAATAACCAATGTATATTTTGTGTTTATTTGTTATTATTATTAAAAACAATGATAATTTTATCTTTTTTGTTACTGGAGAGTGTTGATTATTGAGTATGATCAATCAATTAGTGATAAATTTATGCTGTATACTTTTGTATGTTGTATACTTTTGTTAAATTTTTATATTTATATAGTGATAAATTTATTATGCATTGATTCTATATGTTGAATGTTTTTATTGAATTGTTGTAGTAATACAGTGATAAAGTTATTTATGGTTGGTGCTATATATTATATACTTTGTGTTTTGCTTTTGTTTTGCAATCTTTTTTATTTGTTACAAATAATGTGTATATATTTTGTTTGTAGGTTTATATCCATTATGTTTTGCCATTGTTGATAGTGAACGTTATGACAATTGGCATTGGTTCTTGTCAAAGTTATTTGTTATTTTGATTCTGGAAAGGGATATTACGCTTGTTACTGATCAACATGCAGGTTTGCTGAAAGCGTTAACTAAGGTCTTTTCGTTTTCTTCTCATTCTTTTTGTCCAATGCATTTGAAAACAAACTTGAAGACTTATTTGTCAGTGAAGAGTCGTGAATCTAAAGAGTATTTGCTCACTCCTTTTAGTAGATGTGCATATGCTCCTACTATTGAGTTGTTTAATGAGCTATTTGAAGAATTTAAGGGTCGTTGTGGTCGTAATGTTCAGAAGTTTCTTGAGGATTTGCCTAATGAGTGTTGGTGTAACGCTTATTTTCAAGACAAGAGGTATGGTGCAATGTGCACAAATGCTGCAAAATCTTTTAATTCATGGATTAAGGATAAGCACCATTTGTTTTCAACTAATCTTGTTTATGCTATACGGGTGAAACTAATGGAATAATTTTCAAAAAGGTGAGAAGTTGGAAATAAGTGGAATCATATTGTTTGTCCTTTTGCAGAGAAAAAGTTGGAAGAAGCTTTTAAAGAAGAACAAGAGATCAAGAGAATTAGGTGCAGTAGGTGTGGAAAGATGGGAACTCATAATCGAAAGACATGTAAAGAAGATTGCTTTAGTTGTATTGATTTTAATTGAATTACTTTTGTTGAGAGTTGAGATGTAGTGACCCTCATCCTCGTCTTAGTCATGTTCATGTGCATTGCATGTTCTGTTTTGTTAGGCTTGCACTTGTGGTTTTGACTTGTTTTGCCTAAAGTAAAGTTTTCGTCTTGTTTTGTACCTATGTGTTTTGGCTTGAGTATTATTTGTACGTTTTGTCCCTTGCTTGGTGTGTGTAGCCGAGGTCATCTTAAGCCTAGGCCACGCCATTGGACCTTTTACACCTAGGACCATCTTGGAACCACTTTGGCTGACCTCCACCTTCACCCTGGTATATTGGCCTAGATGTCATCATCTAGGCCGAGGTGCGCATTGCCGAGGCCGAGATATGTATCATCTAAGCCGAGATGTTATCCTTTAGGTATTTTAGATCTTTGATCCCTGCACCTGGTGATCTTATTCCTGGACTGGTATGACTTAGACCGAGGTGTGGTACATCTAGGCTGAGGTGTGGCATAGCTAGGCCAAGTGTTAACCTTCCTAGCTGAGATTATTGAGATCTTACTTGCCGAAGCCTTGTTCTAATCCGAGGTCCTTACCTGCCAGAGTGCCCTTGTCACCTTACTTGTTGAACACCCTTTGTTATGCACTTGTCTTGTCATTCTGTCACCTTTTTGAGGAGATCCAACTAGTCGTTGCCACGTGTCCCAGCTAAGGGTTAAGTCAATCGGCAGAGTTAGAAACATATCATTTTGTCATACCTTTTGCATTGTAGAGAGAGAAGCTCTAGGAAGTGGAAGGAGGAGTTCTTGAGAGAAGAGTAGATTTCCAAACTTGATCCTTAGAGTTTAAGCCGTTTGATCCGTGTCTTGAGGTTAGAATCTTGATCTACTCTGATTGTTCATATTATTCATCTAGCTGCATTGCATGATCTAGCATGATTCATGAGCCATGCATTGTTTTAAAGTTCGGTTTTAGAAAGAGAAAATGGCGTTCTTGTGTTCTTGAAAGGAAAATCATGTTTTGATCTGAAAGTTTGTATCAAGATCCATGCTTTTGTGTTTGTTTTCATAAGATCTTCAAGTATGGGTACCCAGGTCCATGTTTTCGAACTCATCTCATGAAATCTCAAATTTTGAATAAAGAAGTTATCATTTTAGCATTCATGTTCTTCATGTTCTTCAAAGGGAAACCCAGGTTTTCCTGACTTCATTTCCTCGAATGTGGTCGTTGGGACCATACCTCAGCCAAGACCTGGTTGGCACCCAGCACGTTTTTCCCGAGATTAAAAATAGTGTTTTAACTTCCAGCATGTTTTGCTTTGACTTGACCTAGTCTTGAAGGAAATGCCGAGATCCTTTCCTGTCATGTAAAGCTTGTTCTAAGGGTGCATTTCATATCCATCTTTGAGCATCTTTTCTTGTCTTCTTGAAGTGCATTCAATGGAATTTATTATGTGCTTGTAGGCTTTGGATCCTTACTTGTAATCCCCTCACCCGAAGAGCTATGTGAGTGGTATTTTTAATAAAGTTATGTTATAAAGTTTTGATAAAGCCTTGATTCGTTTTGGAAAAGTATTTGATCAAGCATGAATGATTGTCCCTAGTTTCGTATCTAGTAGTATATTGTTTTGATGACATTCTGGG